AAAAAACAAAATACTTAAATAGGGATACAGGTTGACCTATTGTAATAATGAGATGTATAAGACACTATGTTGAAAAAGAACTTTACAACTTTGGTAAGGGAGGGGAGAAGAAGAAGAGAGCAGTTGTGGAGGTGGGAGGGAAGGGATGGCAGGGGAAAAACAAGGGAGGAGGCAACAATGCTCTATAGGAAATGTACTCATTACCTTGCTCATGTAACAATAACCCTTCTGTACAGTATTTTTACCATAAAAACGTATAAAAAAGATAATGAAAATTCAAGTAAATTTTTAAAAAAGGAAGACTGTTTTATAATAAAACTCATTACTTTGTTCAATTAATACTTTCTAATAAAAACTCTTTTTTAAAAGAAAAATATCAACAGCCAGGTACTAGTGGCTCATGCTTGTAATCTTAGCTACTCAGGAGGCTCAGATCTGAGGATTACAGTTCAGAGCTGGTCTGAGAAGAAAAGTCTGTGGGACTCTTATCATCAATTAACTATCAAAAAGCTAAAAGTAGAGTTGTAGCTCAAGTTGTAGAGCGTCAGCACAAGAACACAGCCCAGGCCCTGAGTTCAAGCTCCAGGAATTGCGCTCACCCATATGCATGCATGCATGCACGTGCGCGCGCGCACACACACACACACACACACACACACACACTACTGAGTGTAGAAAGCTAAGATATTTTCCAATTTTGCACAAAAATGTAAGTTAGACATGATTTTTTAATATATCACCTAATACTGCCTGATTCACTGATAACTAAACACAATGCAAGACTTTTGAAAATGTAACACTATATTTAACATATGACAGCATAATGGCAAGATGGTAAGCAAAAATGTAGAATTTGTTATACTCAAATAACTCAAGGAAAGCACTTCCTCATTAGCAATATTCTGAGAAAATGAAGACCTTTTTTTTTTTCCTTTTGGCTTTATTGGGGTTTGAACTTGAAGCTTTGTGTTTGCGCAGTTGCTTGCAGTGCTAGTGCTCTACTCATGCCTGCTCGGCAAAGAAATCCAGTCCAGTTTTTGCTCCTTAATTGGAAAGGAATCTTGCCAGCTTTCCTACCTAGGATGGCTTGGAACAGAGGTACTGTAGGGTGTCTCAGTTTCCTGAGTTGCTAAGAATACAGGCATGAGCTACCTGCTCTGAATTTTGCTTTTGTCCTTCAATAAACAATGGCATTAGAAACACATGTGGTAATTTTCACAAATCAGATTAGCCTTGAAGACAAAGTATCAACCTTTTCCAGAAGTTTTAAACTCGGGGAGTAAAACCAACATTACGTAGGACTGAAGAACACAACAGTGAGAATGTATTCAAAATGAAACTAGCAATTGCCTGGGAAAATATGTACAGTCACAATCAGGAAAACTCTTACACAGACCATTAGGACCATATGGCCAGTGAATTAGTGCCAGAATCAAACTGCATGATACCTCCATCAGTTCTCCCAGCAAGATTTTAACCATGTGTTTACATGAAGATTTTCACTTGCTGCTATGAGAATATTAATCTCTGTTAGAAAAGACTCTACTTTCAAAAAGAAAACGATGTCTGGTCAAAAAGATAATCTATTAAACCCTTGCCCTCCCCTCCAAAAAAGAAACAACACATGTAAAGAAAACTGCCTTAGAGGGGCTGGGAAGATGGCTCAGTGGTAGAGCGCTTGCCTTGCATGCCGGAGGCCCTGGGTTCGATTCCTCAGCACCACATAAGCAGAAAGAAAAAAGCCAGAAGTGGCGCTGTGGCTCAAGTGTTAGAGCGCTAGCCTTGAGCTGAAGAGCTGAGGGACAGCGCCCAGCCCCAGAGTTCTGGCCCTACAACCGGACCCCCCCACAAAAAAAAAAAGAAAAGGAAAATGCCTTAGAATATGTGAAATATATTGTAACCGAAGCTGCATACCATTCCTTAATACGTAGTAAAATTGTAACTGAGCCTGTATTCTTTCTAAAGAAAAGCAGTCTTATTCAACCCTCCAAATTCCTTTGTTTCAAATAAGAACCGTCAAATTCTTGTGCTGTCAAGTTCCTTTTTTTTTTTTCTTTTCCTTAGTTGAAAAGAATGTGCAAGTCAACCAGACACTGGTGGCTCATGCTTGTCTTCCTAGCTACTTTGGAGGCTAAGATCTGAGGATTGTGATTTAAAGCCAGCCCAGGCAGGAAAGTTTATATGACTCTTATCTTCAATTAACCATCAAAAAGCTGAAAGTTGACTTGTAACAAAAGTGGTAGAACACCAGACTTAGTGAAACATCTCAGGAACAACGCCCAGGTCTTAACTTCAAGCTCCAGTACTAACATGCATGCACAGGAACATACACACACACACACACACACACACACACACACACACACACACACACACGCCCCATTTCATTTGATTGACACATATTAACTGGAAAAAAATGGTGCCTGCCACTAACCTAGCTCCCTTATAACAAGGGATTAGAAAGTCAAAATTCAAGGTCAAACCAAGAGAAAATGTTGGAAAAAATTAATTTCAATCAAAAAGCTAGATGCATTGGCATAGACTTGGCATCTCAGTTCATACCACAATATTGCCTCCCTTAAAAAGGATTAAATCCATGGCAAACTATATAATTTTTGCTGATTCCTATGGTCAAATATACTCTAAGATGAAAAATAAATGATATCAAATTCAAAAATCATACATTAATGAGAAACCAAAAATTCATGTTAAAGACTTGAATTAATTATTTAAGGACATGGCCAAAATGACAAAGACCTTGCCCTGTATGCTCAAGGCCCTGGGTTCAATCTCCAGGACCACAAAAAAGTGCAAATAATAGATAGATAGATAGATAGATAGATAGATAGATAGATAGATAGATATGCATACATATATATGCATATACATACATAATATAATTCACACATAATCTAATTGTTGTCCTTTAACTTTTCTCTAATAAGGTGTTTTTAACTTTAAAACTCCAGGAATCATTTATCATTAATAGATAAAGTTCTCCCCTCTCTTCTCTGTTTCTCTGTCTCTACTCTCTCTCCTCTCTTCTCCTTCCCCCTCTCCCTCCAACTCTGAACATGCCCTTTAGATTTTAGACGTTTCTATATGGAAATAGCTAATACGGACATTCAAAATCCAAAGTAAATGGAGATTTTTGTTTAATCCATATTCTAGATATGATTGTTGATTTTCAGGAGGAAACAGAAATCTTTCACTGAAAAATTAAACAGTAATGACCAGGTGGTCTCTCAGGAAGACATCTTGGCTACTAAATCTTTCCCTTATTCTCCTTATTTAAGTAAGCAGTATTTACTACAGAGAGGAAAATCTGCCAATAGCAGTTCTAAAAATTACAACATGACATCAGCCTCGACCCAGGAGAAACATACCTTGCAAAGCTGGCAGCTTTAGTACACCAGTCAGAAGCTGTTCAAAGGTATACTAGTCACTGAGTTGAAAAGCAAGTAGAGTCATAATCACAAAAATTATTACAAAGACCACTAAGACCAGACAACTAATTAATTACTGCCAGAATTAAACTGCATGATGTCTCTATTAACTCACTCAACAAAACTGGAACAGAGACCTTCACCTGGCAATTGTAGTTTCCAGTGGTAGCAAATTTATTAGTCTATCTCACATAGGATCTCTAACTTTGAGCATCTCAAAAGGCAGATGAAGCGGAAAAACAATTATTTCTAACAAAAGAAAGAAAATAAATGAACTATCAGAGTACAAAATATGGAAGTGATTTTTTGGCTGCATACATTGTGAAAATATTCATTGGGTATTGAATAATAGGAAAATTAGGACATCCATTATTGTGGGTTAAGTGAAAGAAATTAGAATGAACTAAAAAGTTGTCCTTCTCCATTTTGTGACTATAGAACAGTTCCCTATAGGTCTCAAGAGCAACTTTCTCTTTTCTTCTTCCCAGAGACCTCTCATGTTTCTCTGTAACCTTTGATTTTATTTTCAACAGAAAACAAAATCAGTGCTGTCTCACAGTCTTGAAAATGTCTGCTTTCAGAACCACCTGATTCAGTGGTATAATTCTTAATGGCAAAAAAAAAAAAAAATCAAGCAACCTCCCTTTTGCTTTGGTTTTTAATATAATTTTTGCATTTATGTATGCATACTAAAAAGTAAGAGCAATCATAAGAGGCAGAAACTACTGCTTAAACTTAAAAACTAGAAGATGGAAAATAGAAATTATACAAAACATTCCATTCAGCTACATTCTCTCAATGCGTAAATTATTATTTTGTGAGTGACACAAGCGCAAGAATAATGTAAAGCACTATAACACAGGTTAGTATTTGTAATGTAGCCACTGGTCAAATAAAGCAACCAACACTCTCATTTTGAAGGAACAGGAATTAAACCAAAAAGAGTAATTTTCCCAAAAAAGATATAAAGACAATAGCTGAAATAGAAACTATATCCAAATTCCCCTGGGCCCTGATCCTGAACTCATTCCAGATATTTTCCTGCCTTTGAATCAAACACTTACTTGGAGAATATGACATAATAGGTACCCCATACAAAACCAAAATGCATTTAAAATTTTTTTCTCTAAGAGAATAAAGGAAACTCCATGAAAACAAAAACTGAAGAACTTCCCATTTTGTTATTCTTTGTGCTTAAAAGAGGAGTTACAGGGGAATGAGTGAACATTATTCCTTGAATTAGCCAAAAAGGTAAAATTTACAAGATTGTATATTCATATGGAGAATAGTGCGTGTTTCTCATTCAAGAGAATATAGTCTTTAAATGACAATAACATACAATATAACAAAATAAAAATATCACAAGTTGGAAAAACAAATTGAAAACTATGAGATGATGTAAGTACCCAATTTTCTTCCCTAAGATAATAAGTTCTTCATTACCTCCCAAAGTTAATGTCTCCCTCTCCCTCCCTATCTCTCTCACCCTCTCTCTCTCTCTCTTTTACACACACACACTTACACATTCTCACACATACACTGTGAGGTACTTACTGAACTGTAGAGATAGCCTTCACCATTCATGGCCACATAGAGGCTAGCTTTCACCCCTTGGATGGCCACCACACGCAGTCCCACAGGAATTAGATTGAAGAGGGCTGCAGGAACACAGAGAAAAAAGATCAGCGACATTTGGGATGAAGTGTCTTCCCTCTTATAATTCTTTTGAATATTATAATCCAATTCATTTTACTTAGGAAGAAAAAAAAGAGACACTGTTGCACGAAGAGAAAAAGAAGGTCTAAGAACAAAAATAATGGGGTTTTTCTCATACCCACAACTCATCTGGAATAAAAAAGAGTTTGACTTTTGATCTCTTGCTCTCTCAGGGGTTCATATGGATCTGGAAGTCTAGGATCACTGCTTCTCAAAATGAACATATACTCAAAAAGTATGAGCTGCTTTATTTTTCTAACAAACAAGCAAATTGTATGAAAAAATTCTCAATGACAGAAAGCAAATTTATATTCATAAGCAATAACAAAGTATGATCTTAAAACAAATGCCTGAATCATATTCTCAATCTTCTCCCCACAGTTGTAAACACTGTCTTGAACACAAAAGGTTGACTGTGAACAGTGCAGATTTATTGGTAGCAACATGGGGCTGCACATCTTGCTTCACATTTCAATTTCTCCATGTAAATGAAGACATATAAACAAACGGGCATATTATTTATAGACAGCTTAAGCTGTAATAGGTATATTTTTTATCCAAAGGAATATATACATGCATAAAACATAAAAAATTAAGATGACAAAGTTGCCAACATTCTAAAACAAAATGGAAATAGACTTAGAGCTTTATATATTTTAATCTTCCATCTTTGAAAACACTCAGCTATCTGTCCACTCACAGAAAAATTCATATACTAGAAAAAGTCAAATACTATCTTCTATGTTTCTTTTAACAATGTATCGCTATGAATTATAGATCACTGGCACTATTCCAGGAACTTAGTACAAAATAAGCAAAAACAGAAATATTACCCCTAACCTGAAAAAATTATACTATGGGAGGAGAATGATCCCATCCTTAAACTCAAAGATGGCATCTTAGTTATGAATGAAATATCTCATGGCTGTGTGCATAAAAGAATTGTTGTGCAGTGCACTTTAATATCCTGTCTTTAATAGAAGTGCTTATCCACCTTTCCCACTGACAAAATTCTCATCAGTTCTGATCCTTTCAAATTTAATACAAGATACACATGAATTAACCCAAAGCTTATAATCTTGGTTCTCTCAATTTGAGAGAGCAAGGTGTACACAACAGCACCTATATTCGAACCCATACAGTATTTGAATTTTAGTCTAATGTTTCATTGAGAATTACAGAGCTTCAAGCCTCAGCTGAAGGAATTGTCTTGGTCTTTGCATCTTTGACCCTGTTTCGTCATTTGTCATGAAAATGCAAAATAAATTATAGAAGTTGGATTAATTTTGATGTAATCTGGTATTTGTTAGCCCTATATTCTTACCTTTACCCTTCTGCTACTTACTGAAATAGCTTAAGAAATACAAGACCTTGGAGTCTACGCAGAGAGAAAAAGCTAAGACATATGGAATAACCTGATACAGTGTATAATGTATTTCTATAATTAAATCTAAAATATGCATTCTCTCTCTCTCTCTCTCTCTCTCTCTCTATATATATATATATATATATATATATATAAATTCTGTATGATAGAGAAGTTTGGGGAAAATGAAGATCTATGCAACCTGAGGTACTCAGAAAATGTTTCTGTAGAATATGGAACTTGAGTTGACATTTACAGAAGGGGTAGAAGTTGAATGAGCAAATAACTGGATACTTTGTGGGGCAGGAAATTAGTTGGTTTTGCAAAATCATGTGTCTGTGCAAGGAGAGAAAGAAAGATTAGGAAACAATTCACATTAAGAAGAAATGAGAAATGAGAAATAAAGGTTATCGGGGCTGGGAAGGTGGCTCAGTGGTAGAGCGCTTGCCTTGCGTGCATGAGGCTCTGGGTTCGATTCCTCAGCACCACATAAGCAAAAAAAAAGAAAAAAGCCGGAAGTGGTGCTGTGGCTCAAGTGGTAGAGCTGAGGGACAGTGCCCAGGCCCAGAATTCAGGCCCCACGACTGGACCCTAAATAAATAAATAAAGATTATCATTTTGTTGTTGTTGTTGGTCGTGGGGTTTGAACTCTGGGCTTGGGCGCTATCCCTGCGCTCTTCAGCTCAAGGCAAGTGCTCTACCTACCATTTGAGCCAGAGCACCACTTCCGGTTTTCTAGTGGTTAATCGGAGATAAAAGTCTCATGGACTTTTCTGCTCGGGCTGGCTTTGAACCATGATCCTCAGATCTCAGCCTCCTCAGTAACTAGGATTACAGGTGTGAGCCACCTGCACCTGGCAATAAAGATTTTTAAAAAGAGAGCTTATTCATGTAATCTGAAGAGACTGAGATTTCACCGAAAGGGCTTCACGTTGTGTGACAATATAAAGATGGAAGAAGCAAGGCAGATTATGAGAACCTGAGAGATTTGATGGTGGCACAATTCTTAAATCAACCATTTAGAGTTATACTGCTTTGAATCATTCATTTAACCTCTCTGCAGTGAGTTTCCTATTTATAAATAGATATAACAGATTATGGCGCAGTCTATAGAAGAACCAAATGCACTATCATGTTTTTGTAATTGGAATTGTGTTCTCTTTAGGTTAGTTGTCGTTGTTATCTAGTACTTTTCATTACAAATATGGATACATGGCACTGGCATAAACGCTGACATATTTGCTCAGTAATATTTTTACCTTATACCCAACTACTAATGAATTAAAGATAACACTTTATATATCTATGTACCATTTGATTTTTAAGGTATTGGCAAATTCATCATTTTTATTTGACCTTCATCTATAAATTCTATAAATAATGGTTACCTTAATTTTAAAAAGGACAAAGTTTGCATTCAGGGAGGTGACTCTGAACAAAAGTTTCCTCCTGCAGGGCGCTGGTGGCTCACGCCTGTAATCCTAGCTACTCAGAAGGCTGAGATCTGAGGATTGAGGTTCAAAGCCAGCCCAGGCAGGAGAGACCATGAGACTCCTATCTCCAATAAACCACCAGAAAACCGGAAGTGGCGCTGAAGCTCAAGTGGTAGAGCGCTCGCCTTGAGCTGAAGAGCTGAGTGACAGCGCCCAGGCCCAGAGTTCAAACCCCACGACCGACAAAAAAAAAAGTTTCCTCACTCTTTAATGAGAGTCTAAGATTACCCTAATTCTTCCTCTTTTCCTTTTCAATTTAAGTTTCCTGAGTACACACTCTTATCACAAATTAATGTCCTTGATTTCGTGACATCTCCCTACACATCTTGTAGCTAGAGGATTGCCAGCTCCTATGGACTCAATATTGAATACTGGCCAATGAAATATGCCAGGAAATCTTTATAAGTTTGGAGAAGACTTCCGGAAAGTCAGCTTATGTCTTATGCATGTTCTCCATCCTTCTTTTCAACCACTGTCTTCTTGCTATTTCATTGGAGATGTGGCTGCTAGATCACCTCAGACCATGAACAAAAGTCCTGTTTATATTCCAGATCTCAGTAAACAATCACTAGTAAAGACTACATTATATGCTAGCTAGAATCTTAATATTTAAAACTCAAGTATCTTCTCAATCTTGCCCTTTCCCAAAGGGATTCATTTTAGAATGAATTTCATGAAGTCAATCTATATTGTGAAGAATGAAATAGTAGAGCAGGTGCTCTTGATAAACCAAAGCCATATAGGAAAGAGTTTGAAAAAAAGGTAGCAAAGGGAACAGGTAGTCTCTGAGAATGTGTTGGGTAAAGTGGATATCCTCGTTCAAAAGAATGAAAATGGCCCAAGAACTTGCAAGACTAACAAGCATCAAATCAAAATCAATTCAAGATGAACATAACACCTGCAACTATAGAACTTCTAGAAGTTTTGGAAGAAACCTTTTTTGACATTGGTCTTGACAATAGTTTTATGAATATGACAACCAAACCATAAGCCAAAAGAACAAATAGACAAGATGGAGGATATAAAGCTAAAAGGCTTTTTCACAGTAAATAGTCAACAGGAAAAAAAGAGACATTCTAAATGAGAGAAAATATTTGCGAATCATATGTGCAATAAAAAGCAATATTTAAGACAAGAGTAAACTTTTTCCTACAACTCAATTGCAACGATAAAAATAAATATTTCAGTTTAAAGTAGGTAAAGGTTCTGAACAGACATTTCTCTAAAGAAGATATTCAATATTGCTCATCATCAGAGAATTATGAGCTATGAAACCAGGATAGCCATGCATAAATTATAAAAATATAAAATGTTAACTTTGATTAATCATGCTACAGAAAAAGTTATCTTCCTGTGGTTTTTCAGAAAAAAAATGTAATATAAAATGGTTGCAATACGAAAAAACATTACAAATACCATATATACAAAGTAATGAAAAAGAACTTATAGACTTGCAGCTATTTAACTAATTGAAATATGTTTTTGTCATGGGGTTTATCATCTTTGTGGTAGTCTTCATCTTAATCACTTTTCATTTCCTAAATCTAATTTTCATTTTGTGTATAATTCTAATTTAATTATTTTTTGAAGGGATGTCCTAAATCATATAAGCTTTAGGGCATAAGAAAAGTGTCAGACTCAGGTTGGAATTTAAATTGAGAGAAAAGGAAGAGCAATGAATGAAAATGGAAAATCATTAAATGCTAACTTTTTTAAGGCATTCCAGTAGGTCTTTGAACATAGAAAATGTTATTTGACTATAAAAATCATTGTTTGACTAGTGGCCTTTGTTTTAGACCTACCTACTTTAGGAGGTACAAAATGAATGAATAGGGAAATTAAAATAATACTTTTAATGTTGTAAGACATTCTGGTCTCAATCAATGAACCCTCATACAGAGCTAAACTGTTCCTGATTTAGACAGCAGTATTTTTTCCACGAATGTTTACCAAGTACTTACCAAATGCCAAATGTCATTCGTGTACTAGGAAAAGGCCTCTATAGATCAGATCACTGGAGAATGCATTTTGATGTATGTCTTTCTGGGGCTCCCAGTATTCTAGAGGCACTGGAAACATTTAT